GATTTTGCTGTAATCGTCTTTACATCTTATTTTCATTTGGAAATGGTGGTAGCATGTCTCGCAAAAATAAACAATACCATGCAGAAAGACGGAAAACCTATTCCGAAGTTGTATTTGAGGGGGGCAAGCTTCCAGCTCCAGGGTATCGATCTCGGTAGCGAACTGCATTTTTTGAAACTCATCAATGCTAGAAGACCACTTATTATCATAATTATGACGCCGACTGATTATTCTGGCTTAGCTTTAACACAATCCATATGAGCGCAGTCCGCATGTAGCTTTTTGAATATCACAAAGCAAAGCTAAGTCATCGGGTGCTATCGGATGGCAAATGATTGGTATGGAAATTTGTTTTAGTACCGAACAGGGTTTAGATGTTGATTGGTCGCGTAAGCCAAAATCATGCGACTAAGAAATTGAGAATTTCCCAATGATAAAGTCATGTTTAGTTATTTTGGGCACAAAGTCAGAGATTAAGCAAGTTTGTATACATGTATCACAAACATATATACCACTACATGCTCACGATAAACGCACTGTGAGCACAGGCATTTAAGAAATGTTATCTTCGTAGAATTGAACCGTAATCGACTTCTCCGAAACAGCTCTAGGGAGATGTAGACTCCTAAAAGCAAGATGGGAGAGCTATTTTTATTTTAAGGAAATTATTTTACTCCTAAGGGCATGGTGAGTCCGTAGCTCTGCGCTGCCAATCGCGCATTTGTTCTTAACGCTTCATTTCAGCTTCTGTAGATGTGTACGATTAGGTCTCTACAAAGAGCGGCTCTCATTAGATTAACATCAAATCAATTACTTCCATGCTATCGCCATAACTCGAGGGAGTGATCCACGCCTTTCATAAATATCAGGCGCTTTAAACGTTCTTTAACACCTGCATGTGCGACTTAGCTAATTAAATGTGCGTCTACAGTTTGTATAGTTTATATTCTACTATGGAGCGAAGAAAGCCCCGACTTTCATTCATTGTAAGAATATAAACTACGACTAACTAATAATTAAATAATAACTGATGAAATTACACTCTGATGGTGATCTATTCATTGTCACTTCTTTATTCTGTTGAATGCTTCATTTCCTAAAAGTACAAGCTACAGCATGGCTTTTTCCAGGTTTGTTTACATAAATTCTTCATTTCTCCCTTACTCTCGTGATCATTCTGAAAATAATTTTTCGAATTCGTTTGCTGCCTTAGCATATTTTGTTCGAACAAACATGTGTTTTCAATTATGATGATCGTGGGAGAGAGAAGCGTGCTAAAACTGCATTAGGTTTCGGATCTTAACACATAACATCATCGGCGCCTTCATTATTTTTCGTAATTGTAACATGAGGTATCATTTTCCCTAACTTCCTTGCAACTATCCTGCGATCGTTTTCACGCTTGATTTAATGGGCAAAATTCCCAATTCACGTGGACTAGTTCCAGTAAGACCGCAATAAATCAACTTGAACTTTCTGAGCTTATATAAAACCATAAACTTTTGCTTCTTTAACTTCAAATTATAGCTCTTTCTTCCTACGGGAGGTTTTAAATGCATAAAACTTTCTGGAGAGTCTTTGCTGCATGTCTGAACAACGAGATTTTAAGTTAGCAACACTGAATGAAAGAAGAAGTTTGAATTAAGGTCTTGGTTCCACATCATCATCTCTGTGGATTTAGAAAGCAGTATTAAATTAGTAGGTATGAATTAATGAGGGTCAAAGCATCACTTCTGGGGTAAATTGAGATTTCGCTAAGTATGAAATTAAATTAAGATTAGTGTCCATTTATTCGCAGACATTACCTCACTGCTTTGCACTATTGAAAACAAAGATTTTCCTACAAAAGCTTTTTTTGCCTTTGTCCATTTCCTTTCTTTCTCATCTTGAACGGAAATGTTGGAAATTGGTTTTGTTAACAAGAACGCGCAGCGAGTTGCAAAGGTGCGAATTTTATTAAGTTGCAAACGCAGTGAAGCGAAAGAAATCTTAAACTCTCTGGAAAATAAGTCCCTGCTTTGCGTCCTGCAACACAAATGTTAAATATGTCCTCGAATGAAGAGTTTCGATGTGAATGTTTAGGAATCTGCGTACTTTTAGATGCTGGACACGCAACCAGGCCTATAAATGATTTATGACGACATCACTGATTTCCTACTCACTGCAGCACTTTGAGAAACGGACATTAGCTGCTTGTAATTTGTATTTCGCAAGAGTTGTAAATAGCAAAGTAAAATGAGCGTAGATGGCTTAGATAAGCAGTCCAAGTACTCCGCCAGCGTAATTCAGCTGTCCTTTTTTTGACTGCGCATCGATCTCAATCACTAATAGTGGAAAGT